GGGAGGCAATGAATACGAAATCGAACGAGACGCCAGAAAGAGGGAGATCAAAGAGGCGGCAGAGGAAGTGGCATGGCAGGCCGAGAGGAAGGGAAAGAGGAGGGGGAAGAGGAAGGCGAAGACCCTGACGGAAAAACAAGACCCCAGTCCCAAGGAAGCGGACGGGAACAGCACAACAAAACTGATAGATCAAACCCAACGATTTATCTTTTGCCTTTCCCTTTTTTTTTTTTTACATCTTTCTTCTCCTCTTCTTCCCTCTTTCTCTCTTCGCTTTGTTATTTTTCTTGTTAACCTAATGTGAATCCCTTTCTCTCTCTCTCTCTCTCTCTCTCTCTTACAGTGTTCTTTTCCATCTTGTGAAGCGAATGGATCACGAGAAATGTCCAATAAATATGAGGAACGTAAAGTGAGACGTAAAGAAAATAAGGTAAGCGATAGAAAAGCCAAACAAAAGTCAAAATAATGGTGATATTTTTCGATACTGTTAATGGTAACAGGAACAACAACAACAAAATAATAATAATAAAAAAATAATAATAATGATAATACAGTAAAACAAAATGAAACAGTTCCACCCTACAAGTCGACGAACCGCATACAAACAGTGATTTTCTTTTCACTTCCAACACGATATCGTTTTTGTATTCAAGGAACGCGCCGGATGTTTGGTTACTCTTTCGCCACGGCACAAGTCCTACTCAAGGGACCTGGAGGAGAAGCGCTCAAGGTTGAGGTGGAAGGAGTTGGTCACAAACTCTTGAACTTCACCTCCCGAAAGTCTTGATTCCATTTCTCACTTTCACACTAGAAGAAACTTGAGGGCTTTGATCTCTCCTTCGCCCGCCTTCGTGATCCTGTGTCCGTCGTCGGTGTTTACGGCGGGGAGTACTCTGCTAAGCGGGTCTGATCGATAAGGTGATCAAAACGCTTTTTCTTCTTCTTTTGTCTCTCATTTTCTTCTTCTTCTTCTCTCTCTCTCTCCTCTCTCACTCTATGCCTATCAGTCTCTCTCTCTCTCTCCTCTCTCTCCCTCTATGCCTATCAATCAATCCTTTTTTCCCTCTTTCTCCCCCCCCTCCCTTTCTCTTCCTTAGATCTCTACCTCCTCTTCTCTTTCTTTCTCTCTTCCTCGCTCCTGTCCATTCCTCCAATTTCTGAGATGAGCACTCCCCACTCTTCTCTCTCTCTCTCTATCTGTCCATTTATCTATCTATCTATCCATCTGCTCATCTATCAATATAACCTGGTTCCTGACGCCAGCCCCGGATATATACTAAGGCTTGGAACTGACACTGACTTGGGCTGGCTTTACCCGGTGGCTAGATTACACACACGCACACACACACACACAGATACACACACATAAACACACACACACACTTTGGTGACAGTGTTGGTTTCTTACAAATGTATATACACATACACACACACATATATATACACTCATTATATATATATATATATATATATATATATATATATATATATATGATTGTGTGTGTGTGTGTGTGTGTGTGTGTGTGTGTGTGTGTGTGTGTGTGTGTGTGTGTATGTATGTGTGTGTGTGTGTGTGTGTGTGTGTGTGTGTGTGTGTGTGTGTGTGTGTGTGTGTGTGTGTGTATATATATATATATATATATATATATATAATATATATATATATATATATATATATATATATATATATATATGAATGTGTGTGTGTGTGTGTGTAGATATAAATATATATACTTATATACACACAAATATTCTTTTCCATTATAAAGAATAACGTTCAATTTTTTTTTTTTTCCTTCAATAAATTCATGAAGGCGACGCTTCACTGACAAGGGATCTTGTGCTTCATCCTTATCACAATTTCCTCTCTTTCCTTTGCTGAAAGTCCGGCCAGTTTCTTTTTGACCTTCTTTGTCAGAGGTGAAAAGGACTTCCGAGTTGCCTTTGTCCTCATCCTCATCCTTGTCTGATTCGTCTGAGGCGAAAATGACTTCTCAGTCGAGGTCGTTCTCGTTCTCCTTCTTGTATGATTTTTTAATCTTCCCAGTCGAGGTCGTCCTCGTCCTCGCCCTTGTTCTCCTCCTTCCTCGTCGTAGTCAGAGGCGAAAATTATTTCCCAGTCGAGATCGTCCTCGTCCTCGTTCTCCTCCTCCTCCTGGTCCTTATTATCACCCTCGTCATCAGAAGCGAACTTGGCTTCCCGGTCCAGGTCTTCTTTGCCTTTAGTCTCGTCCTTGGAAGTCGAAGCCTCCCCGCAGAACTTCCTAGTCTCCTCGGCGAATTTGCTGCAGTAATCGAGGTCAATACATGTGAACTAATCAAAGCAGTTCCCGGCCTCGAAGCGAGCGAGGCCAAAGTCGATGAGGTTCACCTCTCGCCGACCGCGACGCACACGTTGCATCGTTATGCCGGCTGCGTGGAGGAGCTGATGGTGGCGCGTACCTGCACAAGGGTGTCCTCCAGCTGCTCGACGCACTGCCTCCGAGTGTGGCTCCGGCAT